CCCCTTGTCCTGTTGTTCTGCGTCATCCTCAAATACCTTTTCTGCTCGCTCGCTTTCCGCAATCATGCAAAATCAGAGCTAGTTCTGCATGTTCACTATCACTTTGTTTTTGGTCTTTTCTTTGATTTATTTGTTTAGGTGTGCTGGTAATTGATGAATTTCACATGCTTTTCGATGCAAGTCGTGGCCCATTGGTCGAACAGATTGTTGGCAAAATGCTATATATTTCACAATTTCTGAAGTAAGCACATATTTTTTGGTGTTTAAGTTCTCCCTTGATTTTTCGCAACTTCTTCAATGGTTAGCAGGATTGCCTGCACTGTCAGTATGAAGAATTAGTGTTATTGAGATGGATACTCACCTGCAAACAGTGAACTTTTCATGTCTCTATTTGGATGTTTTTAATCTTTTTTTGTCTCTGCCTGCATTTCTTCAGCTCATATCCGAATGACTGCCAGGAAAATTAGGCTCAGAAGCAATGGTACAATTTGTACAGGCAGTGAACAATCCATAATCTTTCATTGCTCTGGAATGTAGGCTGCTATGCTCCTGTAGAAGCTATTACACCTTCCATATTCGCATTCTCTTTCTGAAAGACGGAAGCATTCGGGAAATAGCTCGAGTGATGGCAAATGCCATTAGCAACTATCCGCTGGCGAGATTATCGACGGCTTCTTTTTTGGACGGTTATTCACTAGCAAACTGATGACTTGTTTTGACTCCCTGGCCTTATGCTGGTACGAATCTATTAGCAAAATCAACAGTGAACGATTTGTAGAGGGATTAGTTGCCCCAACTACGTATATTTCAAGTACAGTCTTGCAGACATCGAATTCAGCTAATTTGCTTGAGTGCAACGCTGCCAAATTTGAACGAGCTGAGCGACTGGTTGAACGCCCAGAAATATCAAACACAGTTTCGTCCGGTGGAATTGAACGAACTGATAATGTGTGGATCGGAGCTGTATGATACAAATACAATGGAAATTGTGCGCTCAATGCCGGCCGAATTTGCTGTCCCAAATGATAGTGAACAAATCGTACAGTATGCGTTTTCAGAATTAAATTAGGTTCAGGAATATACAGTTTTACTCCACTGCATGACAGATTCTTGCTGCCCAAAAAAATACTTTCGACAAGTGATAGTATCCATGGAAATATTCATCGTGAGCGTAAAATTTGAGCTTTTTTCTGTGACAACCAGGAATGCTTGAAAGTAGGCACAGTATTAGCTGGACCTATGCAAGAACTAACCAAAGACGGATTCAAGAAAAGGAAGGGGGGGGGGG